GCGCTCCCCACTACCCCGGTATAAAACCAGAGGCATCTGCCGAGGGTAGCCACTCTCCACATCCTACCAACTCCACAACTCTCTCAAGGTAAATATCGCTGCTGTAGTTTACTAATTGAGCTTGTAGTGTAAAAATAACAGCATAGGTCCTCTTTACTATCATAGTTCCCATAGTTTTTAGGGATCAACCGGGGATCAAACCAGCAACCTCCAGATTTAAAAGCAAACACTATAACCACTCGACTATCCATACAATATTATTACGACAATATTATATGGTTTTAGATGGATCTTTCTACAAAGCTGTCGTCTTGCGAGGTGCTCTCTTCCCCTTTGAAAGTCCCCATCAAAGATCTGACCGAGCCGGCGAAAATTCAATCTGCTAGACGAATCAACACGAGATTCGGAACCATGGTGATCGTACTACACGTCACCACATCTGCCGGCGAGGAGAGGGTGACATTTTTACCCTCGAGGTTCACCAGCCTCCTCACAGACGAAGATCTAGAATGTTTCACAAACTCTAAATTGTATAGTGTTAAATGTACGGGGATGGTGGGGAATTCCCCAAATGTGCTTATTTATAAACATTAGTTTTTAGCATGTTGTTCAGTAGTAGTAGTGCTCAGTAGTTTTTAACACTTCACTCAATTCTTTATAAATTAGTAATGTGTCTTGCTTGTAGAATAAATATTTGTAACATTATAACTGCGTTTTCAATTCCAAGTGCACCCTCAAAATAAGGGAGGGGGGTATTATATGGTATAATACTAAGCCAGTTCCTCTGGATACAAGTACAATACGATATAATACCTGAACCTGGGGGTGTCCTTCAGACACTCGGACAGTCCCAAACCCTGTCCTAAAGGGTGCACAACAAGTTTTCTATATACTATTTGCTAGGGACATGAAGTTTTTTTCGTTTGGCGAGAAGGTGAGGTTTTTTTTGTTTGGCGGGAAAATAAAAGTGAGGTTATGTAACTTGGCGGGAACCTACGCAATACGTTGTTTGGCGGGAATCGGCGGAGAAGAAGTAAGGTTTTTTTCGTTTAGCGCGAAAGTCACTTGGCGGGAAGGTGATTTTTTCGTTTGGCGCGAAAGTGAGGTTATATTACTTGGCAGGAAGGTGATTTTTTCGTCTGGCGCGAAAATAAATGTGAGGTTATGTTACTTGGCGGGAAGGAGAAGTTTTTTCGTTTAGCACGAAAGTGAGGTTATGTTTCTTGGCGGGAAGGTGAAGTTTTTTTCGTTTGGCGGGAACCTACGTATGCAATACGTAAAGTGAGGTTAGATGTTTGGCGCGAAAACAAAAGTGAGATTAGACCACGTGGGACACCAGAGGGCGACCACGTGGGACAAAAGGGGGCATGGCCTAGGGGGAAGGGTGGGGATGAAATGCTGCTCTCTGATTGGTGGCCGCAAGAGCTGCTTTTCCTACTCTTGTACTCTCCTAAAGGCCTGCATTGGTTTGTAAACGTAGAAAATAAGGGCGTGGTATCCCGCGGGTGTATTGGTATTGGTCTTATTGTGTGGAGTACCTACTCAAGTTGCCGCCGGCGATAGGCATTGTTGAACTCCCTGCGGAAGTTACAATTGTCAATCAAAAGCAGCGAATTGAAGCTGGTATTGTGCTGCTAAAGATCGTCTACTCGTCTAACGATGCCAATAGAGCTGCTAGCTCACTTGGGACATGAGTTGGTGGTAACTTATAAACATTTGATCATCATTTTTTATCTTTTTGGTTCGTAGTTAAACTTGCAAGACACTCTCTACAGAACAAAAAAATAGTTTATTAGATAACTTACTAAAAGTAAGTTTTTCTTACATTTTAACCAAGGGACCATCATGACGTAGTTTACATTCATTTAAATTATTAGACTTTGATCCAAACTTAGATGTAAATTGTTCTACTGTTCTTAGAAATATTAACCTAGTAACATTTTTTTATTCATATGTGTATTGAAGAGAACCTTCGACCATATCTACTACTCTTTGATGGTCTTTCAGCCATTTTGCTATTATTGTTTCTGATTGTTTTGGGTTGAACATTGAATATTTTCAATTTTAAGAAATGATTGTTTAGCTTCTGTACCTTCTTAAATATATTGTAGAAAATGTAATACATTTTTTTCATCAATGACCACATGTTTCAAAGATCCTGTAAAGACTAATAAATGAAGATCTCTCAACCTGAAAACCTAATCAATATTCATTTAAAAAACGTATCAACAACTTCCATCAATTCCTGTAACCAAAATTAATTAATGAATGCTTTTAGGTTGTCAACCCAACCACAAATTACTTTCTCAGACGTCTACACGATGAGAGGCTATTTAATCAGCTGCAGGAAGGGTGTTTTTACATCATTCAAGCAATTAGCCTAACAGCTTGGTTACCCGAACACCTGTGGTCAGGTGATATGTGGAGGCAAAAACCCTTACAACCCCCAAACCCAAACCTTCCAAAAACCGTTGGTAACTTTGCTGTTGTTTTAAAATTATACTGCCAATTCACATACATAGGTTACAATAAGATATAAAAATAAGAAATAAATTTCGTGATTTACTCTTTGGGTCATGTTTATGTCATATTCACTCAAAGTTTTATAAAACTGTAGTAACATAAAACTGTTACTATTAAATATTGATAAGACACTTTGTTTTGGACATTTTCTTATCAAGTTGTAATTTTTTTATGGTTTTCTTTCAATGAAAAATATTGTTAAAAAACGTCACATTTGTCATAGTTTAAACTATGTTTTTTTTATTTTCCACGCGCTTATATACAAAAATATTCCCGTTCTATCAAGCAAAAACAGTATACAAAAAACATTTTTACAGCTATAATTATATTTCATACTTGTTAGTTACTTTTGCTTTTTGTCATCACATTTTTGTAACTTCTCAACTTAATAATCCTCTGATCTTAGTAATGGAAATGTTAATAATAAAATATTTGGTAGATAGCAATATTGGATTTTTCTTTGTTTGAAGTTCATTGTTGGTGATGGTGAGTTAATGTTGTTCAAAGGTTTATTGCGGACATTTTGATTTTGATTTTGATTGGATTTTTATGTGAATCCTGCTTTATGGCAAATTAATTCCGACGGTAAAACTTTGTTGTCAATGCTTTTGCAAAGATTTAAACCACCTCGTCGTCTCCTTTTTAAATACGCTCCCTTCCGACAATTTCTTGAATTCCTACAATGCCATTTACATACTGAAAGGTACGATTCGAAATAACTCTCGAAACGTTACGAAGCGATTTAAACGTCACCTGCGGTTTCTTTGCGAGTTGACGATTTGACTTGTAAATCTAGTGCCGAGGGACTCCCTATACTCCTGTGGGGAGCGGTTAGGGGCGCTTTTTGGGGGAGGTAATGTATGAAATGCTCAGTCCCTTAGCTTAAGTCAACAGTTGCCGTTGAGAGGACCAAATTGATTGAGGGATTGCTATTGTCCCCGCCCCAAGTCTCAAGTCAGTTTTCCCCCAGAATCTACCGTTTTCCACGTGCGGTGTTTTGAGCACGTGAGTGGAAAATGTACAACATATTCTATTAGCTTCAATTTTCAGTTTGTTTTCAGATAGATACATTTGTTCCGACAATATTTACAACACAACAAACAACAACAATATTTTAGTTGTAGTTGTACTGACGTTTTCCAGTTATGTAACCCTGCATTTTGTAAAAAGATATTCTTGATTTCTGAACAATTATTATGTGTTATAGTTGTTCTATTGTATTACTGTTAATTTCAAACAATGTTAGCTTTTATATTTAAGTTAATTTACCTTAAAAATAGCAAAAACCACAAAACAATTCAGGTTATTTTTGCATACTAGCCTACTACGTGATTATGTTTTGTTACATTGAATTGTTAATACTTTACACCCGAGTTTTATAGTTCCTCTTATTTGAAATATTGCTTAACACTTTATAATAAATATTTTTGTACTGGTCAGCTTTACAATTAATTAATATCCATTATTTCAAACCGGCTAAATTATGTTATTTACGTAATCTTTGCAAAGATCTTCCTCCAAAAATTTGGGTTTTTACTATTCGTGATGAAAAATATCCGCAAAAGATACTTACACAATTAACATAAATTACCGTCATCAAAAGTGCACTTCAAAACGAAGAGCTGATTAACTATTTTGTAATTTTTGGTAAAATAGCGTTTAATCAATTCTAAAAATCTGGCAATTTCCGGAGGGTTATCTTAAAACAATTATATAATCGTTGCAAACGGAATTTATTGTGCAATCGACGCCGTGTCTCTTATGTTAGCAATACCAGCAAAACTCTTAAACAGGTGATTTGCATGACAATCATTGTTTGGTATAATAAGAAAAATATGTACATAGAATGAAATTAATCAGTCTTAATTAGGCTAATTTTTAAAGTGCTAAACAATGTTGAATTGCTGTCACAGACCTTAGTGAAGCTGAAGAGATGTTTGGTTTGGGGTACCCCACCTGACTTGAAGCACTGGGCAATGGCGGCGTCGACGAGGACTGTCCATGTACACGTTGACCTACTTGCACTATTACAATTGTCCGTTAAATAAACAAAAAATAATTTCTTCTTGGGATAAAAACAAAACTATTGTCACTTCTATTAGCACTGTACAGACTGATTAATTTAAAGAAAAAAAAGGTAAAAATTGCGGGATGTTGAAAAGATGATGCGGATATACGATAGTAAATATGGTGATAGTTCAGCGGCGGACGACAGTGGACTGCGTCGTTTGGAAAGATATCAGTGTTGAGGGCAAAGGCTGCATACCTTCGTTAGCGGCTGAATAGCGGAAAATTACTTGGGCTAGGTTTTGTTTGAAACGGAAGAATATAAATATGGACTCGATTTAAAAATCATGAAACCTAAAATATCCAACATATCGCCCCCCTTGAACCAACCTGGTTCAATGAAAAAACTGAAAAATGGGAAAAGACAAATGAAAATAAATTGAAAGGGGGTGAAAGGGAATGCTTAGGAATTAATTGGTAGGAAGAAGGGAAACTTTGACGGTTGGCCGACTGAAGTTCCCTGTAGCGGTGCGTAGATGGACCACTCGTACAATTCCGTCTGCTCCTGGAGATACTGCGGTGATTCTTGCAAGTTTCCATTGTAGGGGAGGAGTGTTAGGCTCATGAATAACAACAAGGTCACCAATCTTGAGGTTCTCTGTTTTACTCGTCCACTTAGAGTGATGCTGTAGAGTATGCAGATACTCTTGGGACCATCGAGTCCAGATGTGTTGAGAGAATGCCTGAACTAATTGCCATCTCCTCAAGCGGTTACAAGAAGTTTCATCATATTGAGGTTCAACCATGGATTTCAGAGGTCCACCAGTTAAAAAGTGTCCTGGGGTTAGAGACTCTAAGTCATTCGGATCTCCAGAGAGAGGGGTAAGCGGTCTTGAATTTAATATTGCTTCGACACGTGACACGAGAGTTATGAATTCTTCATAAGTCAGGATTTGGCCACCGATTACTCTATGAAGGTGATGCTTAAAACTCCTAACAGCTCGTTCCCACAAGCCACCTTGATGAGGCGCGTGTGGAGGCAGAAATTTGAAAGAAATGTTGTTTTCTTCAGCAAAACGGTGAGTTACTGGATTGCAAAGGAGGTTGTTAAAACATTTGTGAAGTGCAGCAGCTGCTCCGACAAAGTTGGTTCCACAATCACTATGAATTTCCTTCACTGAACCACGTCTGGAAATAAAACGTGTAAGAGCTGCTATATAAGCTTTTGAGGACAAATCCGACACAACTTCTAAGTGTACGGCTTTCGTTGCAAAGCAGACAAATAGACAAAGATAAACTTTAATAGGCTGAAGCCTTTTTAGGACATACAATTTCACTGTAAATGGTCCGGCATAGTCGACTCCAGTAACATTAAAAGGTCGGGTTGCTACCACTCTTGGGGAAGGTAAGTCTCCCATCAATGGTGTGTTTGGCTTAGGTTTCATTCTGAAACATCTCAGGCGTTTAAAAATCCTGGAGCGTATGATACTACGAGCAGAAAGTATCCAATATTTCTCACGAAGAACAGCTTGGAGTTGTGTTGGTCCACAGTGAAGAAAGATGCGATGATGATAATCAATTATCAAATTTACAACAAAATGATCCTTTGGTAAGATAATTTGATGCTTGGCGCTGTACGGCAACTCAGAATGTTTCAGTCGTCCTCCAACTCTTAACAAACCTTCATCATCAAGCAAACGGTGAAAGGCGTTGAATGCGAGAAGAACACACATTCTTCTTTGACAGGGAATTAATATCCTCAGAGAAACTCTCTCTTTGAACAAGCCAACAAATCCGTTTGTTCGATACTTCTAACTCTTCAAGTGTGAGAGAATGAGTAATCCTTTGCTTAGTTTTCAAGCAGGAAATAAAACGTAAAACGTAGCCCATGACATGAAGTAGTTTAGTCCATGAAGAGAATTTATTGATAAACTTCAGATCTTGATCTTCAGCTATCGTAAGAAGATTTAGTGTTGTGGTTTTAATTTCTGGGAGTTCCTCTTCGGGAAGATGACTCGATGGTTGAGGCCATGAATCAGATGAACTCTTAAGCCATGTGGGTCCAGACCACCAGAGCTTGTTATGAATAAGAAGAGATGGGGTTAATCCTCTAGAGGCAACATCAGCGGGGTTTTCAAGAGTAGAAATGTGTTTCCATATGCAGGAAGGGGTCAATTCTTGAATCTGTGCAACACGATTTGCAACATATAACTTCAAACGATGAGAAGGGGTGTGAATCCATGAAAGAGCCACAGTGGAGTCACTCCAAGCGGTAACAGAATCTATCTTGTAGCGATCTGAGAGTTGATCAACACAGTAGTGTAACAGTTTGGCTAAAATATGTGCTCCGCACAGTTCAAGGCGAGGAATCGTGATACGTTTCAGGGGTGCCACACGTGACTTGGCTATTAATAAGTTGACATATATACTGCCTTGCGGGTTCTCAGTTCGTAGATAAACACATCCAGCAAAACCGAGTTCACTTGCATCTGAAAATCCATGCAACTGAATATTAACCGCATCACTCAGAGATATGTACCTGCCAATCTCCAAATTTTCAATCTCAGGAAGTTCGTTGACAAAAGTTGACCATCTGTCGATAATATCACTAGGAAGAGTATTATCCCAATCTAGGCCTAGTGACCATATATGCTGCATGAGAGCCTTAGCCCAAAAAATAACAGGGGTAAGCATGCCTGTTACATCTTGTTGTTGTCTTGTTGTTGGAGCATCTTGTCCATCTTAGCGATGGAAGACAAAATTGCTCTTTTGGTAAAAATCAATGGAGCTTCAGAAATTGCATATGAGAATGTGTCTGAGTGTGGATTCCACTTCAGTCCAAGAATACTAACACAAGGTGAGTCAGTTGATAAGCAGTGTTGAGGGGGTAAATTTTCCAATATTTGGCTATTGTTAGACGCCCATTTGCGAAGTTCAAAGCCTCCTTTTCGTAAAAGGTTTATTACATCTTGCTGTAATTTTGCAGCTTCTTCAACAGTATCGCTGCCTAGTAGCGCATCGTCTACGTAAATTTGTCGTTTAAGTGCATGAGCAGCAAGTTCATGATTCTTTCCTTCATCATGAATTAATTGTTGTATTACTCGATTAGCCAAAAATGGCGAAGAAGTCATACCATAAGTAACGGTTGTCAACTGAAAAACTCGAAGCGGCTGTGACATTTCTTCTCTCCAATAGATGAGTTGAAAACGTTGGTCTTGTTCATGAATAGAGATCATACGGAACATCTGTTTGATATCACAAGCAAAGGCGATCCTATTTTGACGAAAACGTAGAATTATGTCTGTTATTTAATTATGTAACTTGGGTCCTTGATGCTGTAGACTGTTAAGTGTTACACCAGTTGAAGTTTGAGAGGACGCATTAAATACAACACGTATCTTTCCATCCTTAAAGACACCGTGGTGTGGTAAGAAGCAATGATATTGGTTATTTAGATCAAATAAGTTTGAGGGTTTCATTTAACCAGAGGATTCGTAGTCATTCATAAATTCAATGTACTTTTCTTTGAAATCAGGTTGCGATTGAAACTTACGTTCAAGCGATTTGAAGTTTGTAAAGCAACTGTAGAAGAATTTCCTAGTTTTACTGGATTTTCTTTGAACGGTAAACAACAAACATATCTTCCCGTCTCGTCACGAGAGTGAGTTTTCAAAAAATGATCTTCACATTCCATTTCCTCTGGGGATAGCTTAGAACAAGCAGGTGGTTCTTCCAATGCCCAAAATCGCTGAAGTGTTTCATGAAGTGTAAGATCATTGATGGAAAGTAAAGTCGTCAATCCACTGAAGGTTTGGCCGTCTTGTGAAGTAGGCACGTTCCCAAGGACAACATATCCAAAAATAGTGTTTATAGTGTATGGCATACGATCACCAAGACTGGTGGCAGATCCAATAATAGTTTGAGCAAACAGATCCGCACCGATGAGCAAATGTCCAGGAGTGTCGAAGTTGGGATCGGCAAGTGCGTATTCTTTGATTTGAGCCTTTATTTCAGAAGATATCTTGACACTAGGCATATCATTGGTAATTCTATCAAGTATGAGGACAGGATGTGCCGTAGCAAGTGTTTTCCCGTTAAGCGAAGAAATATTTACAAAGGAAAGTCCCTTAGGCTTTATTCGAGCTGAGGCAATGCCCTTTATCTCGTGAACGCCAACAGACGAACGCTGAATGTGAATCATACTGGCACAGTGTTCAGATATTATACTCGTTTGTGATGCACTATCAAGCACAGCTCGGACAATAATATTATGACCATTCGAGGTAGAAATTTTTACCAATGCAGTGGCAAGAAGTACAGTACAGTTGTGGCTGGCAGCACCAGTGTCTACATGAGCAGAGAGTGTATTTGATTCAAATCCTTGCGGTACAGGAGCCTTCAATTGTGTTGTGGAATTGGCCTGAGTCTTATTCGAGGGCTTAACAGATTTTTTCATTATAGGCTGGTCCGTTTTGTAAAAATGCAGTAGCGTATGGTGTCGCTTAAAACAAACTCGACACGAACTGGATGACTTACATGAGCCTAAGAAATGTCGTCCTAAACAATTAACACATAGGCTATTGTTCTTAATGAAGTTGAACCTATCGTGTGGTGATAAGGCACCAAAAACATCACAGCGAAAAATGTTATGCGATGCTCCATTGCAGTAAGCACAAGTATGAGCTTGTTCATTGTCATTAGAAGAAAGCATTACAACTTTGCTTGGCTTGGGACTAGCGGTTTGCCTACCTAGATAAGGCATGTTCTTACTACTTCCATAGTTTTTTAACTGAAGGGAAGAATTAGCATGTGAGGTCGAGCCTAAGTTAGCCGCCTCTCTGTAAGAACACTCATTTTCCAGAAAGTTTATTATTTCTGTGACAGAAGGAACCTGTTTTGAGTCATCTCGTTTTTGTTCAAAATCTGAACGCATAGCGGAATCAAGCTTTCTCAAAATATGTGTACTTAAGATCAGGTTGTCATCAGTTATGTTATGGCCAAGTGCTTTAAGAGCTTGCTGATTTCCATTAAAAATTGAAATAAAATTCCTAAGTTGTGTAACATTAGGCTTAGTAAGCTGCGGTAGGTCCAAGATGTTAGTAGAATGTAATGAAATCAAGAGCCTTGTATTGTGGTACCTCTTAAGCAGGGTTTGCCAAGCAATTACATAATTAGCACTATTTAGTGGTATAGACTTAACTAAGTTCAAAGGTTCATCTGAAAGACAGCTTATGAGATATGAGAATTTCTCAACATTAGAAATTGTTTTATTATTATGTACAGTACTTTCAAACAGGCCATGAAATGAGACCCATTGCTCAGGATTGCCAGAGAATGTTGGCAGTTTGATTTGCGGCAATTTCACAGTCAGATTAACTGTAGGAGTAGTAGGGCCTACCTCGGAAGTAGAGTCATTTAGGCGTGACTCTTCAAGTTTAACTGGTGGAAGTAACAAACTAAAGTTTGACTGAATCTCAACAAAATAATCAGAAATTTTTTCTTGCAGTGAAGTAATTTTATCATCTTGAATATCTTCAGGAGTGGGAGTAGTTTGAAAAAGTTTATTTACTATTCTCTCAAATTCTGAGTGCTTGGTTATTGCACTTTGAGACAAGAGTTTAAGTTTAGCAATCTGTTGCTCGCTTAAAGTAGTCACAACCTGAGTTTCTTTCAATGCATTGACTTGTTTATTTATTGACCCAAGCCTTGCTTGAATAAGTTCACTCTGTTTGGTGAAGGAAGAAAACCTCATGTTGAAAGAAAATTAAACATAGGAAATATTCAGCACAAAACAAATCTGCAGTAATGATAAGACAATAAAATATAATTTGACTTTCCTCAATTTAATCAAATTCTCAAATGCACAAGTTAGGCCTATAGTCTATGCTTAGGCTATGGGTAGCACAGGCAAAAGCAACACTGCATAGGTAGTACAACTTAATGGTGTGCTATCAAATACATAATAATAAGAGATGCTTTCTTAACAAAATAGGTTAACTATTTATACCAATAATCCAAACTATTTTGTGGCTTAAATAGTTTAAGAAATATTTCCAAGTATATGTGCAGTATAACTTACTTGTCGTAATCTATCATCAGCAAAATATTCACATAGGTATTTCTCATATTAATCCAGTGCACATTAAAACCATTGAAAATAATATCAGTTATATTATTTGTTTACTTATTAACTGCAATGATAATTATTTGAATCAGTCAATAAGTTCGAAATCAAAGTCAATCTTGAGTAGATTTGAGGTTATTCTGACTATCACTCAAATGTAGTAATGTAAACAAAAATCTGACAAGCTGACAGCTAAAGTGAACTGACAGGCTGACAAGCGATGCGGTAGTGAAGTCTTGATATTTGTAGCCGTAGACTCGACGTCGTAGATGGCTGTGGCAGTGACGTAGCGGTTAGCGGACAGGAAATTCCAGGAAGGAATATTGGAATAGTCTATTTGAAACAGGAACAGGAATGTCAATTTGGACTCACAATCGTACAGGAAAAGGAGCACAAATACAAAATGGCGGAATGAGCAAAATTATTCCACGCAATGAGAAACGAAATCGAAATGAAATACCATTCAGCTAGAATACGTAAAAAATGAAGTGATATTACAAGTATTCGTGGTAGGAATAAATAAAATTATGTTCTAACCAGAAACTGGTAAAATAATCCGGTTCGATGAGGCCCAAAAAATGTTTGGTATAATAAGAAAAATATGTACATAGAATGAAATTAATCAGTCTTAATTAGGCTAATTTTTAAAGTGCTAAACAATGTTGAATTGCTGTCACAGACCTTAGTGAAGCTGAAGAGATGTTTGGTTTGGGGTACCCCACCTGACTTGAAGCACTGGGCAATGGCGGCGTCGACGAGGACTGTCCATGTACACGTTGACCTACTTGCACTATTACAATTGTCCGTTAAATAAACAAAAAATAATTTCTTCTTGGGATAAAAACAAAACTATTGTCACTTCTATTAGCACTGTACAGACTGATTAATTTAAAGAAAAAAAGGTAAAAATTGCGGGATGTTGAAAAGATGATGCGGATATACGATAGTAAATATGGTGATAGTTCAGCGGCGGACGACAGTGGACTGCGTCGTTTGGAAAGATATCAGTGTTGAGGGCAAAGGCCGCATACCTTCGTTATCGCGAAGAGCGGCTGAATAGCGGAAAATTACTTGGGCTCGGTTTTGTTTGAAACGGAAGAATATAAATATGGACTGGATTTAAAAATCATGAAACCTAAAATATCCAACAATCATAGTGCGGAGCCTTTGGCGAATTTCCAACCGAGCTTTGAATTCCAATTGTATTCTTTTTTTAGCTATAAAAAGTATTAAAAACTCCTACCCAATATAAGTGCTATTTCTTTAACTACTATAGTAGTGCCGTTCAAAAGCTACATTAAATATATTTCAATATAATATATTTATTTGATCCCCTGATGCAGCTACAATCAGTTAGTTACTTACTGTACAAACATTAGCTAGGTTCCTGTTGTACTAAATGACTCTGTATTGTATGAATGATGTGTATATTGATCCCCTGATGCAGCTTAATACAATCAGTCAGTTACTTATATTGTACAGGCATTAGCTACGTTCCTGTTGTACTAAATGGCTCTGTATTGTAAGAACGAACTGTATATTGATCCCCTGATGCAGCTTAATACAATCA